TCGTCCAATAGAACGGTACGCTCGTTCCCCTTGGCATCACGCACCACGAACTGATTATCCGCCCACGTGGTCCTTAGGCAATGAGCCTTTAACCAGCCCAAGCCAATGACCGCATCGAAAGGACATTTGTCCATGACATAAAAGTTCAGCTCATGTGTGACAGTGCGATCCTTGTCAAAAGTGACGTGCACACCTTTGACGGCATGTGTTGAGGTGACAACCTCTTGGTTGCCCACCTAGGTCTGACGAGGGTTCCGCAATTCCACTTGCTTCATTCCCAGGCCCGCCTTACGAATCCCGTTAGGAGAAAAGAAGTTAGTCGTTGAGCCATTATCAATCAACACACGAATGTATCGATGGTTAATGAGCAGCTTAAAGAAGATCAATTCCACACTCCCTTGAACACGGCGTTGCTGCTCGAGCTGCAGCCAATGTTCCAGGTGAGAATGGAAGTCGACTTTCCATATTCTCCTCCCAAGGCTCTATGTACAGTACTTGAACTGCAGCAGCCTTGGATTCAGCATCGGTCCGGGTTTCAATGGCAGGCTGTTGATCAAACTCAGGCTCCTTGGAGGGGCCTGCAGGTGATTGTTCAGCTTCCCTTGTTGTAGAGAGTGTTGATGACTCTTCTACGCCCTTTGCTTGTTTCCCTACAGACGATAACAGTCCTGCACAGCATGCCCAGGCTTTTGACAATGCAAGCACACACGCAGTTTGGATCTTCTCTCCCATTCATTTTGACTGATGCGGAGGGCTTCCCAAGGCTTGGTAGAAGCGTCCTCCGGTTTCTCAGGGATCTTTGCATTATTGGGGAGGTGTGCTATAGTTCCCTTACCCGAAGTACGGTTAGGCCCCTTGCTTGAAGCAGTCTTTTTAAAGGCATTGCATTTTTCTTCAGTATTCATGTCAGACTCAAGGGCTGATGTAGAACAACCCACGTCGAAGTCCGGTTGTAGATCGTCATCTAGAGACAGATCATCCGCATAGGACTGATCCGCAGCCTCCCGATGTTCATGCAGGACAAGCTGGTTGCTGCTTTCGTACCGTTTGTGTTGCGAGGTTCTACCTGCAGCGGGTGCCTTTGCACGCCTGGCGAGGTCCTTGGCTTCTAGATTGACTAGATTCGTCAGTAGCTCTCGCCAAGTCATATGGTCTTTGAGTCCTAGTCGGGATACATATTCTTTAGGGGCCACTCCCATAACTACATCCATAAAAGACACTTCAGTCCCAGGTTTGGAGTGGTGAACAGACCAGTCAAGTGCTGCTCCAAAGCCTGCATGGAAGTCCTCCACGTTTGGCCCTTCAGGGTCTCAAACTTCATCCTTGCCTTGAGCGCAGCCTGCTTATCTTGATATTGCGCGATGAGGAGGTCCTCAAGAGTACGTACACGAGTTACTTTCAGCCACTCAATCAGATCAATTCTCTCATAACCTGTAGTAACAGCTTGAGTTCTATGAAACTCCGTACGGCGGGCTCAGTATTTGTGCCCATGATCATGCTTCGGTCTTCCTGCGGTGTTCGCAGTACCTCGAAGTATGAGCGCATGGAGCTAGTCCAAGAGGTGATGTCCCCCTTCCCGTCGTACTTGGACGGCAGAGTGGCCGCACTCTTGTCCACTATAGGACCGCTGTATTGTACGCCCGTAAGAACTGCGGCGTTTTGGGCTGATGTTCCTGCATTTGGAACTAGGACCAGTGCAGAACTGCCGGCGATGTCGCTTGAGGAGTAAGCACCGGTTTCTGCGCTCGTCACAGTTCCACTTGCTCTTGACATGAGGACTGTGTTAGGGTGAGAGATTGGGACTGCAGCAGGATGAGGATTAGGAGGACGGGGGGCAGACATTTGGGACTGTTTGAGGCTGACTATCTCAGCCTGCAGCTCTTGGTTCCGCTGCTCCAGAGCTCTTGGTTCCTGCAGCCTGCAGGTCGAACCAAGGATGCTACGGCAGCAACTAGCTTCTCTTGGAACCGGTCATCGTTCGATTTCGGAACCTCGAGGAGGGCCACTTGTTTAGCGATACTTGTGGCTTTGGCTGCCGCCTCTGCCTCCCTCTCTTTGTGTATTGTGTCCTTATAAAGTTTCTGAAAGAAAGGTTTCTCGTTCTCGACCGCTGCGTCTAGCATGGCCTTCCATTGCTCGGATGTGATGCCTGCCATGCTGGAGGATAGGGTGTCAGTAGATCTTTCAAGAGGGGTCCGCACTTTGCTCACTTTTGGACGAACACTCCTCTTACCTCTCCTTACACTCTCAAAAAGTACACCTTCTCTCTTCCTTCTCTCTCTTTCCGCTTTCTGCGCACGCGTCTCAATACCGGACATAGATAGTTCAGATAAAAGAAAAAAAAGTAAATCACCAAAAGTAGAAGGTAGAACTCCTAGCCGGAGCGGCTATTCATTTGGACTTAGAGAATGACATTCACGCAACAGAATAAAGATAAATAATTAAATAAAGAAAAAAAGAGAGGACTGACTTATCGAACGGGCCCGATCAGATTAGCTGGAGATCCCCTCTTGTCTAACCTGACAACGTACATGTACCACAATAAATCATTCGAAGAAAACTAAATGCAGCAATCGAGATTTCGAGGGGTGCAGACCATCGCCGAGCCACACACGGGGCAGTATGTGAGAACATGCAGTAAGACCAGTCAAGATCCCCTTGAAAGGAATGCCCTTACTAGTCGTATGTCCCCCAAATTCAGCACAGCAAAAAGATGCATTGACGGCAATACATTTGGGCCCTAAAGGTCCTGTCCCATTCGGTCTGGTCCCACTGAGTCCCGAAGGTCCCAAGTAGGTCGTGGACCAGGACCAACGAGATAGGTGTACCAAGTGAGTCCCAAACCGCCTCTACCGTACTGAAAAGGAAAAGACAACTTTCAGCAAGAACTTACCCCTATAGCCGTTCAGAAATGAAAAGACAATACACCGTAGAAAGATATGTCATTGAGAACAAGATACATCATCCATCCATCCATCAGGTGAGAAAGCAATCCACATGCTCACACACACAACCAAGACCGCACAGAAGAGGAAGAGAGCCCATCACACCCCAACAGGCCATGAAGCACCAAGCAACCTCCCACGGGCATAACCAGGTCACATGGCACTTACCTGTGAGGCCCGACCTCCAAAGATAGATAACGACTCACCCCCCTCTCTCATAGGTCCTCCTGACCCCTAGCTACCACTACACGAAGTGTCCTAGCATGACTAAGAGGGCCTCCCTACACCCCTGTTGCAACGCCGGATCCCCTGCCGATGTCTGAAGACCAAAGTAGCAACTTGCAGCTCTTCGATGCAGATATGGCAGCCTCCGATCAAGTCTCCCTCTTAAAGGGAAGCCCAAAAGTCACTCAATGTCTTCTTGAAGTGCAGATTCTACGTGCGAGTTCCTCGCACTCTCTACTCCCACTCGCTTACTCCAATCAACCTCCTTTGTGTCACCCCACCCCATCCAATCACACACGCAACCTGGTCAGGTCTGATGTCGACCCTACATGACCTAACGAGGTGGGTGCAGTATCCACATACCTCACTGCCCCACTTAACCCTAACTTCCCAACCCTAATCCGAGATTAGGTTACCCCTGACCCACTTCGGAATTAGGTTTAGGGTGAGTAACACCTCTCGCCAGCAAGTAAGTCCGCTCAATGAAAGACAATGTCACGCAATTGCGAAAGAGATGAAAGCACTTGCAAAGAGATAGAGACCAGAGAAGAGGGAAAGAAGAAGAAGAAGAATATTAAGAAGAAGAAGATGTACACCAGCAAGACCAATGACAAATTCCCCCTTCTCTCTCCACCTTCCTCCTCCTCCTTCACTTCACCAATCTTATTCTTCTCCCAATAATAATAATAACAATGAGTGGATGAACCATAATCAATATCCGAAGTTCCCTCTTACTGCTGACTCAACAACAACAAGTCCACCATAGTTATGGCTTCCCTCCTTCAGCCTCCTTTCACATGCGTAGGCTATGGCGGACTACTGAGGGTCCTGCCCTCCTGTCCAAAGGACAACCCAAAGCAGCTATGGTGCTGCGCTCCTGTCCAAAGGACAACCCAAAGCAGCTATGCCGCTGCTGACTGGGCCGCCATGCCTGACTCTGCCTCGAGCTTCCTTGGTGCGGCACTACCCCAACTGGGGCCTTCCAAATGCAACACCCAAAAGGTGATGAAGACGGTGTCCACCATAGCCAGGTAGGTGCCTCGCCACTCTCCTCCTTCGCCCCCTTCTTCCTCCTCCTCAAGCTGGGCTGCTCGCCATAGCCAGGCTGAGCGCCAGCTGCCCTTCACCTCCAAGAAGCGCTGTATGAGTCCAGCGTTGCACTCCAGCAGCATGTCGCCAATCCTTGCATACCGCAAATGAGGAGGAGCTTCTTGCTCCTCCGAAAGATATAGCGGCCTACTGGCCTCCTGGGCGGTGACTTCCTAGGCCGAGCGGCCTCCCAGCAACCGGTTCCTCCTCCCTTTCAGAGGGAAACATCATTGCAGGCTCTGCTAACCTCCGGACAGGCCCTAGACCCAGGCTACTTAGACTGGTATCGGCCTACCTCTAGCCTACCGCTACTGGGCCTCTAAAGATGCCAACTTTTTGTCTTCTTCTGCTCGGCCTCCCGTAGGCGACACTCCTACCATTACTTCAGTGGTACCTGCCTACCTGCTACTTGAGTGTTTTTCCCCTCTGCTCTAAGTGTCGTGGGCCTACCCCCGCTACTCGAGTGTTTTCCCCCGCTGCAACCCTCACAGTCACGGCCACACGTAAGTACCGGCCCTGCGGGGCCTTGCAACCAACAAGTACCCTTGCGGGTCACACACACACTCAACCGACAAGCACAGGCATGCACACACACACACAGACTTGGAAACCACAGCATAATGCGGGAATCACAGCAAGGCATTCATTCCAGTGGCAAATCCCATAAATCAGCAGTGTTCTCAGTCTGTGTTTTTGGCGGGTCATTACACTACCCCCCTCTCAAGAGCGAGGTCCCTTCGAGCGAGTAACTCATTCAGAGTCGGCACAAAATGCATCGTAGGCGTAGATCAAAAAGAGGGATTTAGTAAGACCGTAGGGAGTGAGTTTTGCAGAAAACTTAGTAGTCTGTCCATCAACGATCTGTCGTTCATAAGTGTTCACAACACGTGGAGTATTCTTTAGCAGCTCTTTCCGGTCGATCCAAAAAAACTCGTTCAACGGTTGGTAGAGGAAGTGAACCTTATACTGTCTGTTCCTCCCTCTGCCTTCATGGGAAACGATTATGTCTATCTCATGGCCGCCGTCGATAGAAAGAGGTATCATAGGATCTCGGAAGGGAAAAGTTTCATCATCGATGTGTGGAAACAGTTTGGATGCATGAAAGACCGGATATGTGCACAGATGAGGAGGCACATCAATCACATACGAAGGACCAAATTCATCCCCAATCACCTTCAGAACCTGCCAAGGGCCATAGTACAATGGAAGAAGCTTTCATGATACGCCCTCTTCATCAGAAAACTCGGACATTTTGACCCAGACATAATCCCCTACTTTGAAGTTCGGTTCTTTGCGCGACTTGTTAGCATGTTTGATCATGGCATGATGACGGTTGTTCATTGCTGCGATAGCAGCTTTGAGCAGGCGTGCGTACTTGGCATTGTAGCCACGCATGCCGGGCGTCAGACCAGGGGACTGTTCGGGGAACAAATAGGAGAGAGGATTGCGCATCTGCCAACCATATTGCAGTTGATTCGGTGTTACGCCAGTTGCAGAGTGAATGGAGTTGTTGTACAACCCTTTCACTTTGTGTAACTCCTTGTCCCAAGTGTTCTGGTATGGAACAAGTAACGCGCCCAGTAGTTGGATGAATGTTTGGTTGATTTCCTCAGCCAATCCATTGGCTTTGGGGTGTCGACCAGAGGTCTTGTTGAGTTTAATGTCGTAGATGTGAGAAGTGAAGTCCTTCCAATCTTTACTAATGAATCTGGTATCCCGATCACTCACAATAGTTTTCGGTTGGCCAAACTGCAGAATGTATTGTTGATGAAATTCTTCGATGACAAGCTCAGTTGGGGCATGGGGAGGGAAAGCAATCAAATTCAGGAATTTGGAAAAACGGTCCACGATGACCATGACTTGTGAATTCCCTGCCTCACTCACCTTTCCCATGTCCGTGAAGTCGATGGAAATCGACTCACCGGGTCCATCATGAATGGGGAGGGGTTTCCGCAGGCCATAAGGCTTATGCCTATGGACCTTGATCCTTTGACAAACTTCGACATTCATCAATAAATTTCTGAGCAGATCCTTTCATTCCCGGCCAATCAAACTGCTGCAGAAGACTTCCATAAGTCTTCTCAAAGCCGAAATGTCCACTCTGACCCTGCGCCAAATCCAAGAAATGAGTCTGGAGGGGCGCATGGTTGGGTACACACAAACGATCAAACTTCCCATACCGACGGAATACAAGACCCTCGCACTCATGAAAATCAGGCTGACTGCTAGGGTCAACCTTGAGCTGCTAAAGGATGGGAATAAGGTCCGGATCCTTGGTGGTGTGTTCGACCAGATCCTCCTTCAGTTTCCTTCGGAGGTCATACGAACTCACAAGGCAAGTCAAAAACTCGGGAGGACGCGACAAAGCATCAACAACACGATTATAACAACCTTTCTTATGTTTCAATTGAAAATTGTACACATCAATGTCATGCAACCAGCGGGTCAGTGTCGGAGAGAGATCAGTTTGTGTCTTAATCCACTGCAAGGTCTGATGATCTGAGTAGACCTTGAAGTGACGACCCAAGAGCTAGTCCTTCCAATGTGTGAGCGCCTCGCGCAAGGCGTAGAGCTCACGCATGTATGTGGAGGTAGCTACCTTGTGGCTGGGCATGTGTTTGCTGTAATATTCGAGCGGACGCAGACCATCACCATCATCTTGTTGCAGCACTGCACCAATCCCAAATTGCCTCGTGTCCGTTGTAACCATGAACGTGAGGTTGGGATCCGCAATGCGGAGCACATGATGACTCACCAATGCCTCTTTCAAGGCTTGGAACGCAGTCTCACATTTCTCACACCACGCATAGGCAACGTTCTTACTTGTTAGTCTCGAGAGTGGGTGAGCAATGACGGAAAATTTGGGCACAAACTACCGATACTACGAGGCCAAACCCAGAAAAGAACGCAGTTCACGTACGTTTGCCGGTTGAGGCCACTTTCGTATGACCTCAACCTTGGTTGCCTCCGGCTCAAGGCCGTTTGCAGACAACCGGTGCCCAAGATAGATGATGCTGTCCCTTCCAAACTCAGATTTCTCTAAGTTGAGGTGCAGTTGTGCCTCCTTGAGGCCCTGCAAAACCTCCTCAACGTGCTTGACGTGCTCTTCCATGGACTTGCTGAAAATCAGGATGTCATCGAGGTAAACAACAACAAACCTGTTAAGCTGATGGCGGAGAACGTTGTCCATGAGGCACTGAAATGTGGCTGGTGCATTCGTAAGACCGAAGGGCATAACGATGAATTCGTACAGCCCATCGCGTGTTTTGAATGCAGTTTTGTGCTTGTCACTCGGATCAACTTCAATATGGTGGTAGCCAGACTTGAGGTCGATCTTGGAGAAGACTTTGCACCTACCTGCCGCATCTAGCAGATCATCTATGCGAGGCAAAGGATAAGCATTCTTTTTGGTGATCCGATTCAGGCCACGATAGTCAATACACATCTGGAGTTTGCCTCCTTTCTTCGGTACAAAGAAGACAAGTGCACCGAACTCAGACTCACTAGGCCTCATCCATCCACGATCGATCATGTCATCAATTTGTCTCCTCAACTCCTCCAACTCGCCTTGTCTCATACGGTAGACGCAATCCTTTGGAGGAACACTCCCTTCTATTATCTCGATCTTGTGTTTGACCGGACGCTCGGGAACTCCACGAGGTTCGGCCAGAACTTCAGGGAATCGATCTAATAGACGGTGAATGTTTGTTGGGACTTCCGATGGAGGATCATCCTCATCAGGAGAAAGAAAATCAGATCGAGAATTTACAGCA